AAAGTGAAATTATGAATTAAGGTGGGTTTTTTTTGTTTTGTTTAGTTTATGGTCAGTCATGGGGCTTGAACTGAGGGCCTAGGTGCTATCCCTGAGCCTTTTTGCTCAAGCCTAGTGCTCTACCACTTCGAGCCACAGCGCCACTTCTGGTTTTTCTAGTGGCTAATTGGAGATAAGAGTCTCACAGGGACTTTTCTGCCTGGGCTGGCTTTGAACTGTGATCCCCAGATCTCAGCCTCCTGAGTAGCTAGGATGACAGGCGTGAGCCACTAGTGCCCAGGGAATTAGGTTTTTAAAGTCCGTCCTAGTTCTTTCTCTAACTCCTTCCCTTTCCCCCTTTCTCTTCATCATTCTCTCCATACTTCTCTCTTTTTTTTGAGCCAGGGTCTCACTATGAAAGCTCTGCTCATATTAATAGCAGAAAACTCTGGTTTCAGATACTTTCCCTCAAATATTTTTAAAGAATACATTGTTCCAGCCAAGTGTCAGTGGCTCACTCCTGTAATCCTAGCTACTCAGATTGCAGGATCTGAGAATTGCAATTTGAAACCAGCCCGGGCAGGAAAGAAAGTATATGGAGACTTATCTTCAGTTAACTACCAAAGAAGGCAGAAATGGAGCTGTGGCTCAAGTGTAGAGGGCTAGCCTGGAGTACAAAGCAGACCAAAAAGAATATATTGTTCAATAAGAAACACAAAAAGTAAATAACATTTTTAAACCTATTCTATAGTCATGAAACAATCTTGCATTAGTCCACATGATGGCAATATAAACACATCTAATTCAGTGCAAGCAAAAATACTTAAATTACTATATATTCATAAAGCACTCTTCCATTTGTCCACAGGGAGGCAGCATAATGGCCAACAGTACTGAAAATAACTGACACACATGCATGGAAGTGTTACAATGAGGCCCATTGCTTTGCACAACTTGTAACTACATTACTTGGGCAGAGGCCTGACATCAGGAGCTCCACATCTGGAACTCAAACACGAAATAAAGAGAAGAATAGTGGTGAAGGGAAGAAAATGAAAATTTATTATGCAGTGTATTGTGCTGTGGAATGAGAGATCAATCATTTCAGTCCACCGTTAGAGCATGACATAAAGCTTAGGTTTAATTAGAGGAAGAATTAGGGTAGAAAAAGAGGGTGAAGCTGGGCGCCGGTGGCTCACGCCTGTAATCCTAGCTACTCAGGGGGTTGAGATCTGAGGATCGGGGTTCAAAGCCAGCCCGGGCAGGAAAGTCCGTGAAACTCTTATCTCTAATAAACCACCAGAAAACCGGAAGTGGCGCTGTGGCTCAAGTTGTAGAGTGTTAGCCTTGAACTGAAGAGCTGAGGGACAGCACCCAGGCCCAGAGTTCAGGCCCCACAACCGGCAAAAAAAAAAATAAGAGGGTGCAGTTAACCAGTCCTAGTCCACAGTCTCTTCCTATAGCTCTTCATACCTCCTCTACCTCTTACACCCACTTCCTTCTGTCCTTCCTTCCTTCCTTCTTTCCTTCCTTCCTTCCTTCCTCCCTTCCTTCCTTCCTTCCTTTCCTTTCCTTTCCTTTCCTTTCCTTTCCTTTCCTTTCCTTTCCTTTCCTTTCCTTTCTCTCTCCCTCTTAGGAGCCCAAGTGGCTCTCTGGCATCACATCCTGGGCTGTTGCCCTTAAAAGACTGGCACAGGAACAATGAACTGATTGGACCCCAGAGATGTGTATCCAAATGAGAACACAGTCAGAGGACCTAAATGCCAGATGAAGAGCTTGTGTCGGCTGTATCAAGTCTCTCATTGGCTCTGGGACTGATAAAACAGAGCTGTCCAATGATCTTACAGTCTTGTCCTAAAAACACCTATTTTCCTATGCACAACCCTCTTGAGCCAGTAACACTTTGTTGCTACCCCTCACATCAAGCAAGAGCACGGTTTACCTTTGTCATCAATAAATCATTACCATTTTGCTCCTCCTTTTTCACCCATGGGCTCTTTCTCAGACACCACTGACACTAAGAACTTGCTTCAGGCATTGCTGGTATCCAGCCTAACCGAGATGCAAGAAGTTTGAACACCTCCTGTGTTTATTCTGCATCCACATGTGTCTCTCCAAGCAAGACAAAACAAAAACTACAACCTGTAAAACCTCACTTTCGGGGCTTGGAAGGTGGCTCAGTGGTAGAGCGCTTGCCTTGCATGCATGAGGCCCTGGGTTCCATTCCTAAGCATCACATAAGCAGAAAAAGCTGGAAGTGGTGTTGTGGCTCAAGTGGTAAAGCGCTTGCCCTGAGCTGAAGAGCTGAGGGACAGTGCCCAGGCCCAGAGTTCAAACCCATGACCGACCCCCCAAAAATAACACCTTGCTTTCATGCTCGACCTCATGCCACTTCTCCATACCTCCTCCTCACTCCTCAGTTCTCACAAGCTCTCTACACTCACCCAGCACCCCACTGAAATAATTTTTCCTAAGACCCCAAGTCCTACCCTTCTTTTACGTAGACCCCGCTCTTGTGAAGCTGTTTGCTTCTTATTTTTGTCTCCCAAGTATTAAGACGACAGGTCTTCAACAATATGTCCACTCTGTTAGTGCTTCTTTCTTTTATAAATTTTGTAATATTAACATGTGAGCAACTATTCACTTTTAACAATAAATGCCACCGATAAAAGTCATACTAAACAGCATACCTGGATTCTATCAGTCACAAAACTTTTTCCATTTTCCTATGGGGGTGGGGGGGGGCAGGGGCAACATGAATATATCAAATGTAGTACTCAAAACACTTGCAGTTGCTTTGCATGCAGAACGAATTCTTAGATTTTACCACAGCACGGCAGCATAGCAACACAGTTCTAAGCAAAAATGGTTTTAGCTACTATACATTCATGAAGCATTCTTCACCTTGACCGCATAGTGGCAACAGAACCACATTAAATGCAACACTAGCAAAAATAATTTTGCTTCTATGCATTCATTATGTGTTCTTCCCAATCGCCACAGGATGGCAACATAAACACAAAAATATTGTAGCAAAATGGATTGCAGATGATTTAATCAGAAATTGAATGCTGCTGTTAACCCTTCATTCTTTTGTGTGTGTGCTGCTCCTATGGCTTGAACTCTGGGCCTGAGTGCTGTCCCTGAGCTTTTCTGCTCAAAGGTAGTGCTCTATCCCTTCAGCCACAGCTCCATTTCTGGCTCTTTGATGGTTAATTGGACATAAGAATCTCACAGACTTTACTGACTGGCCGGGCTTTGAGCTGGAATCCTCAGATCTCAGCCTCTTGAGTAGCTAGCCTTCCAGGTATGAGCCACCAGCACCTAGCCAATTCCTCATTTCTTTTTTATATCAGTTGAAAAACACATTGTTCATTTCTTTTGCCTAATAATATGGCTATATATTCATTACACATTTGTTGTATAAGAAAAAGACATAAGTTATCTCAGTACTTAACTACATATGAATTGTAAATTATTAGTTATCTTATTGTTTATAGATATGTGTTGTAAAGAGGAAGCTACATATTTTAAACAAAGTAATTTATATAGGTGGATTTTCCCCCATCTGTCCTTTCTCATAAAACATGTTCACAAACATTCCTGCCCGCGCTGGCTTCAAATCATGATCCTTAGATCTCAGCCTCTTGAGTAGCTAGGATTACCAGTACCCAGCTGCTTCAGAAATATTGAACAACTATAATTCAATAAAAAAGTAAAAAACATAAAGCATTTTCTACCTATTCTACAGCCATTAAGCATTCTTGCAAAGGTCCACAAGACGGCAGCATAAGCACATTTAATTCAGTACTAAATCCTTTCTCTACTATATATTCATAAAGCATTCTTCCATTTTTCCACAAGGCGGCAGCATAATGGCCACAAACACAGTACCAAAACATGACATATATGTATGGAAGTGTTATAATTAGACCCACTTGCTTTGCACAGTTGTAATCATATTATGTGGGCAGAGGCCCTATACCAGTAGTTCCACATCTGCGGTCTGGACTGTCAAGCACAAACATCAAATAAAGGGGGGAATAATGGTGAAGGGCAGAGAAGGGAGATTTATTATGCAGTATATGTGTGCTGCAGAAAGTAAGATCGAACATTTCAGTCTGCCTTTAGAATACTGACATCAAATTTACTTTTAAATAGAGGAAGAATTGGGGTAGAGAAATGGAGCTATACGGAGTTACCTAGTCCCAGGCCCTTCCTTGACAATCCCACTGTCTTCTTCTCTCCCTCCAACCACTCCTTCCCTCTCTCCCTTTCTTCCTTCTTTACTTCTTCCTTCTTTCCTTCCTTTTTCCCTTTCTTCCTCCTTCCTTTTTTCCTTCCTGTTCTTTTTCTTCCTTCCTTCCTTTCTTCCTTCTTTTTTCTTTTTTTTTTTTTTTACTCAAAGTACAACCATGTAGCACTACCTTACCTTAAACACACAAACCTCTTGTTTTTGCAGACCAAGTGCTGGGTTAAAGGCATTTGTCACTATATCTAGTGTATTTTTAGTCCCTACAACCTTAATGGATTCTCTAAAATTGTTGTATGTGTATGTATTAAGTTTTAACAATAAAGTTACAGATAAATCATTACCAATATTTAAAGAATGTATCTGTATTTTTCACCAAATCATATTCTTCCATCCCACAGGGTGGCAGCAAAGATATATAGACTATAGTCCTAGCAAAAATAATTTCTCTTATTTTTATGTATAGTGCATTCTTGTATATGTCCACACGGTGGCAGCTGGACCACATGAAATAAAGCTACTAGTAAAACGCTATGTATTCTTCCATTTGTCCACTGGATGGTAGCACAAACACATCAAATATCATTGTAACAAAAAAGTATTTGGTCTGAAATTAATGCTGATGTAAGTTCTTCATTTTTAAAATTTTACTTAAACAATTTTTTTCATTCCTTTCTTTTTCGTTTCACATGACTATATATTTATTGTAAAGTTGATGACTGGGAAGAAAACAAGTCATTTATCGTGGCAGTACTCATGTAGGTGAGACTGAAAATTATCTTATGCTTATAGATATGTGTGAGACTGAAATTTATCTTCATGTTTATAGATATCTGATGCAAAAGGAAAGCTACATGTTTTCAAAACAAGATTCTGCACACAGTGTTCTTTTCTTATCTATTCTTTTATACTGAATGTGTTGTGTATTGTTTTCTAAAATCTTTGGTACAATATTTTAGAGAGTACACAGTGTTTATCTTGTAAATTCATTGTATCTTGTATAGCTGATTAAAAATAGATTTTAGGCTGTTTAATCTAACTTCTATTTTAAAAGATTTGCTTTATATAAGCCAAACAAAGAAAAAACAGAAAAATGTCCCCCAAAATATCACAGTTAATCACTGACTTTTTGATTCATGTTAAATTTTGACATGTTCACTTCAGATATTTTTTTAAATTACGCCGGGCGCTGGTGGCTCACGCCTGTAATCCTAGCTACTCAGGAGGCTGGGATCTGAGGATCGCGGTTCAAAGCCAGCCCGGGCAGGAGAGACCGTGAGACTCCTATCTCCAATAAACCACCCAGAAAACTGGAAGTGGCGCTGTAGCTCAAGTGGTAGAGTGCTCGCCTTGAGCTGAAGAGCTGAGGGACAGTGCCCAGGCCCAGAGTTCAAGCCCCACGACCGACAAAAAAAAAATTAGATTTTAATGATATATATATATATATATATATATATATATAGTTCCAACTATATAACAGGCTTGTATGGAGCTATCATAATGAAATCCCCACACTGTACAATTAATATCCACTAACAAAATATAGACAGAAAGAAATAAAAGCTGAAGTTTTTCTATCCAATTAAGTCTTATCCTTCTATGTCTAACATTTCTATCATAATAATATTGTTCCTTTTTTGAATAGTCCTGATCTCCCACTTTAACTATAAAAATATGTTCCATCAAGCTAGTGGCTTACACCTGTAATCCTAGCTACTCAGGAGGCTGAGATCTGAGGAGGATCGTAGTTTGAAGCCAGCCTGGACAGGAAAGTCCCCGTGAGACTCTTATCTCCAATAAACTACTCAGAAAAAGCCAGACATAGTGCTGCAGTTCAAGTGGTAGAGCACTAGCCTTGAGCACAGAGAGGCTCAGGGACAGTGTCCAGACCCTCAGTTCAAGCCTGAGGACCAGCAAAAAAATCCATAAATTATAAAAGCTTGTAAATTTTAATATTCTAACCCTAAACATAATCACATGGGTATATCATTTATTCACTTCACATTATGATTAGAGAGGTTCCAATATTACTATAGCCCTACATGTTTTGAATGTTCAAAGATACTATTTAGCAATATAATATAACTTATTAGCATACTCCCCTATTGATGAATACTTATTGTTTCCCGAGATGGGCAGGTGTGGTTGAGCGACGCTAGGAGGAGCTGTAGACAAGAAGCACCCAGGGAATTGATGAGAGTCCTGGAGAAGGCATGGCTGGTTTGAGAACACGATGTGCTACAGTGTCCTGGACGCCACTGGAATGTCCTCCGACTCCTCTAACTTACAACTGAGCCAGCCTCCTGTTTCCTCCTGTAGTCACCACCGCTGTGTAGCGTGAGGAGCGGCTTTCAGTATCTTTCGCATAAGCATTTATAGTATCTTTATGAACTAGCATCATCTCCTTTATTTTTTTAAACAATCTTTAGTTGTACCAAGTAGGAGTGTCTTTTGTGATTTCCTCTCTAGTCATTCTTGCCTCCTTGTTGGTTGTTTTGCCTTTTTAAAAACCTTTGATTTTTTTTAGCTGGGGCCCTGGCGGCTCATGCTTAGAATCCTCACTATTCAGGAGGCTGAGATCTGATGATTATGATTCCCAGCCGGCCTGGGCAGGAAACTTTGTGAGACTCTTATCTTCAACAAACTACTCAAAAAAGCCGGAAGTGGCACTGTGGCTCAAGTGGTAGAGCACTTGTCTTGAGCAAAAGAAGCTCAGGGACAGCACTCGGGCCCAGAGTTCAAGCCCTAGGACCGGCAAAAAAAAAAAAATCCTGACATTTTTTGTGAGGGGGGGAGGGTATCAGTTATGGGGCTCCAACTGTGGGCACTCAGCCTCCTGAGGAGCCAGGATTACAGGCGCCAGCCACTGGCACCCAGCTTGATTTATTCTTTCTGGCAGTGCCCAAAATGAACCTGAGGCCTTACCTATACTAGACAGCCTAACACTGAACTACATCCTCAGGCCCGGCCCATTCTCTTCTACAAGAAGCATGTGGCCTGTGCATGCCAAACAGTCAGAGGAGAGATGAATGAAGCAAGCCTGTACTACCAGGCTCATATTGAGCAGGGTTATTGATAAGGCCTGCCCTTCCGGGAAGCCAAGATGACTGGGAAAGATGTACTCAGAGAACAGGAAACAGACACAACCGACGTGAGGAACACCAAGCTTTTCATGTGCTTTTAGTTAATTCAAGGGCTTAGGTCAGAGTCAGTGTTTATAGCAAAAGCAGATAGGAATATAATCCACATAAATCCGCAAATTTTCATGGTTTTTGCTTTTTAAATTTGTATGTACTTGTGACCTGATTTCCTGGATTCCTATCAAGCCAAAAATTACAACTATTGAATGAGTACACAGCTCTGACTTTCTAAGTTGGTTGTGGAGGAAGACAATAGAAAAGGGAAAGATGAGAGGTGAAGTTGTTCCAGAAATTGCTGTGCCACTGTAAGTGTAAGCACAGGGACACATTGAGGTGGAGCAGCGTGGGCGAGCAGCGTGGGCATGCAGCACGCACCCCCCCCCCCGAACAGAACCCATGCAGGGTCCGCCAGGAAGGAGCCCGGGAGCCACGGGACCAAAAGGAAAGTCAGGACCAACACAAGGTGGTACCGACACAGGCGGCACATGGCAAGGAGCTTGTGCTGGCCCTTTGCTCGGAGCCCTCATTAACCTCCCCCGTGACACAGACACGTCACAGCACTGCAGCCTGAGGAGAAGGATTCGAAATCACAGAGGAGGAGAAGGAAAGTGATAGATGGCTGACAGAATTGACTTTCCTGTGTCTCCGCAGACCACAAAGGAAACCTCAGGTACATGGTTTTAAGGAAGGCAGCCAAGTCAATAAACTCAGGAAAGGAAGCTGTAAAAGGCTAGATAGTAGCTAGAGAAAATTGAAAAATATCTGTTTAACGCTTTAAAAGAAACCAAAAGGCTGGGTGCCAGTGGCTCACGTCTCTAAATCTAGCTATTCAAGAAGCTGAGATCTGAGTATAAAGGTTCAAAGCCCACCCATGCAGGAAAGTTTGTGAGACTCTTCTCTCTAATTAACCACCCCAGAAAACCAGAAGTGGGGCTGTGGCTTAAAGAGGTAGAATGCTAGCCTGAGCATAAAAGCTGAACAACAGTGCCCATGTCGTGAGTTCAAGCCCCACAACCAACAACAACAACAAAAGCCTTCACACCGGATCCCAGTACAGTGGGTGGGTAAAACCACTGCGCAATTGAGCCTTTGGTCCAACGAAGAGTAGGCACAGAAGCACGAGACCATCTGGCTAGAGCCCTGAACCCATGGCCCAATTCAAGTGTGTATGAATCCACACAAGTTCTAAGGAGTACCAGCCATTCATTCTCCAAATGAAACACAACGTTGGAGCCTAAGGAGAAAGGGAAAACCACACTGTGGACAAAGGCCTAAGCCTTAATTCAGAGCAAAGCACTGGCTTTGAGTGTGGTAGAGATCTTTCTGACTCACTAAGCATGCCCAGGGACTTCACAACCCACTGTCAACTGCTCCTTCACCTGCCCACAACACCCACACCAGAACCCCAAGAAAGCACCACACGCCTGTGAGTTGCCTACTCCACAGGTCCCGCCCGCCCTGCTTCACTGCAGCGGCTGCCAACGGTCCAAAGCTGAAGTCGGCCTGGCACACTGCATCAAGGCTGTGCTGGGCCAATCCAGGGCCCGGGAGGAGGCTGGCATCAGCAGCACGGGCAACGTTCAGACAGAAAGCTCAGGACCCAGAACCCGAGACTGCGGTCCGGCTTCCACCGTGCTGACAGAGCACAGCAGAAGACACTCTTCTAAACAAGAAGTTCTGCTGGGCACCCGTGGCTCACGCCTGTCATCCTAGCTACTCAGGAGACAGATCTGAGGATTGCGGTTCAAAGTCAGCCCAGGCGGGAAAGTCCGTGAGACTCATCTCCAATGAGCCACCAGAAAACCGGAAGTGGCGCTGTGGCTCAAAGTGGTAGAGTGCTAGCCTTGCACAAAAGAGCTTAGGGATAATGCCCAGGCCTTGAGTTCAAGCCCCATGACTGACAAAACAAAACAAGAAGTTCTGCGGGGAGTGGTGGGAGATGGTTTGTATGCATCCTCAGAACTCTTACAGCAGAAGTCCCTTTGTACAACTTATATAATATTAATAAACATGGGGGGAAATCAGAGGATTTTTTTGCTAATATACTTCCTTCTTAATCAGCATGCCTTTGCGTGACCATGAAACAGATTTTACTCAAAACAACAACAGCTCTTCAGTTCCTTTACTTCTATTTATATGACACCGTGGCTGTTAAATAATAGGTCCTGAGGCAAGCAGGTAAAACAAAGCATGTGGTTGCCATAGCAACTTGTAAACGTGGTCTCCAAATGGACCCCTGTCTGAGAACCACCCGAAAGCCACTCTAAGTCCACCCTCATGACCACCAAGGGATGATAAAATGTCCCACAAGTCAGACAGATGAACGCCACATCCCAGTAACAAACATGTTGCTTGGCAAAATAAAAGCCCACTGGATGGCACATGCGCACTACTGTACTTGGCTGTCCTGAAGTGAACTTTCAGGAGAGACCTCTAATTAAGGCCTCATGCTTCTGTCCTAGTCTCCATACTGCCATTATGACAAAGTCACTGTGGGACTGGCCAGGCACCATTTTTAAAACTGTTAACTACACACAAGAGAAACAAAAAAAAATCACAGTACATTTTAGATACGTTAAAAACAATCGCAAGCAAAAAAAAAACCAAGTTGTGTCGCTATCTTGGTGTTCATTTCATTTAAC